AGCACCAGCAGTTGCAAAACGACGTGCCGCTTGAGTCGTACGTTGATTTGACGTCTGCGGTGCACATTGACAACGCGACGGGGTCCTCCCCAACTACGCTTCCAACAGCAACCAAGACACAACAGCAGCAGCAACAAGAAGGGGAGCAGCTGGACCCGTATGTTGACTTGTCGTCGGCTGTGCATGTGGATGTGCAGGCGCGAGACAATGACGACAGTGTCGTGCAACTGTACACGACATACACAGGACCGCGCACCGATGATGACGATGATGACGATGAAGGCGACGGAGAGAGCGAGAGTGGCGCGCTGCTTCGCGTGTCACCAGCAGTGCCCGACCGCCCATCCCTCAACCCATCACGCACCGCCCAGAACCCAAGTGAGTTTGTGTATTTGTTTGTTTGTGTGGTGTATGTGTGTGTGTGTGTTTGTTTGTTTGTGTGTGTGCGTGTGTCTGCGTATGTGTGTGTTTGTGCCTCACACGTCCCTGACTGTGATCCCACACCCGTTTCTCTTCTCACTCTTCGTTCTTCACATACTTTTCTGCTGCAGCCTATGGGCCAGGGGAAGCGTGCGACCAGGCCGGCGTGTACGAGGAGCCGCAGCTGCAGCCAACACCTGCACCTGCAACGTACGAAGAGCCCGAACCCCAGACGGCGGCGACGGCGACATATGAAGAACCGCTGATCCACCCAGCACCGCGACACGGCAGCATTCGCCTCAGCAACCCAGACGTGCCCGCCCTCGTCACAGAAAAGCAACAACGTGAGGTTTTGTGTGTGTGTGTGTGTCTGTGTGTGTGTCTGTGTGTATATGGCATGCCCTGGCTCGTTTTCTGTCATCGCGTCCTGCACTCACATTCAACCGCTCCATCTCGCTGCCCCTTGAATGACCCCAGCAGCAACACGCCGCCCACCACGATACAACCCACCTCCTCGGCACCACGACGTGTGAAGTGAAAGAGAGCGCTGCAGGAGCAGCAGACCAAACTACAGAAATGTCTTCAACACTCGACCATTCCACCGACCGCTTGCTTTTCTGCTTGTGCCTGTGCACACCCACACACACACACAAAGTAAATGAATACGTCAATCATGCTTTTTCTCTTCACTGCTTCACTTTTCGCACATGCATCCATCCAGTCAGTCCTTCCCCTGTACCGTGCCTGCCCATGCTGCTCTTGTTACATCTGTGTACATACACATGCAAAGTTGTAACAACGTGAAGGTGAACATAATGTGAGTGATTGAAAAAGGTGTGGTGCACTTGAAAAGGAAACTTAAAAAAAGGATCATGGCTTTCGCGAGATGAGAGAGAGCGAGCCTGTTCGTCGGCAAGTGCTGCATCAATGCCTACATGGATGCTGCAGCATGGAAGACCTTTTGTAGCTGAAACCAGCGCTGCGCTCTGCTGCTCTTCTGCTGCTCTGGGGTCGCAGGCAGACAAAAAAAAAAAAAAAAAAAAAAAAAAGACAGCAGTCGTCATCTTGCTTCTTCTTCTGAATGTTTTCAGTGGACATTTCCTTGTTGCCGTCCTCGTGTGTGAGAAGACGAAGAAACCCCACGACGATGATTGCTGGTGGTCTTGTGCGCGGTGTGCGGGCTGCTGCGAGCCGTGTGGCCGTGAGAGCGGCTGTTGCTGGCCGTCGCGGTGGTGTGCGTATGGCATCCACCTCTGGCGGGCACAGCGCACACTCCTCTCACGCCTCTCATGGCGGCAAGGCCGTCGCCACCGTCATTGGCGCCGGTGCCGCCGCGTACTTCGTAAGTGCAACACACGCACGCACGCATGTGTTCTTGCTGCGCTGTCTTGGTTTGACTTGTTGTTGTGGTTTACTGGCATGTTCACTGGCCACGGCCTTCTTCCCTTTTGTGGGTATAGCTGTCGGACATGCTGTTCCCAAGCCCCCCAACAGCACCGCTGAGCCAGAAGGACATTGAGCAGCACCAGCAGAAGGTCTGTTGCTTCTTGTTCTTGTTGTCCTTGGTTGTTGGCCGGTGACGTGTGCAACGCTCGTGCAGAGGTTAAACGTTTGTGTGCGCAGGCGCGACACATGTGAGCAAGTTCTGAACACACACACACACACACACACACACACACACACACACACACACACACACACACACACACACACACACACACACACACACATGCGCGCATGTGTGCTCGCTTAGGCGTCGGAGAAAGCCCCTGAGCCAGAGCAGAAGGAGGAGGAGACCGCAACCCCTGCGTCCACGGAGTCCAACGACGAAGCCGCCAAGGAAGAGCCCGAGCAGCAGCAGGAGCAGGAGTCTGAGACAACACCCGCTGCAGCCGAGGATGCATCCAAGGACGAGGCAGCCGCTCCCGAGGCCGGTGAGTGAGTGTGCGTGTGCGAGTGTATGGGTTTGAAATGGTTCGTGTTGTAGTGCGCGCCACTCCACATCCGTGGCAACGCGCCTGCTTGCTCACAACACAACAACGCTCACTGCCACTGCATCTGTGGCCCTAATCATCTTGCACTGTCCACAGCAAACCTTCCGCTTGCAGCCACGTACGTGATCATTGGTGGCGGTCCCACCGCCTTCTTTGCCGTTCGCGGCATCATGGACCGGGACAAGAACGCAAAGGTGCGCATGTTACATGCTTGTGCATATGGCCATGCGCACACATTTGCTTTCACGCTGCACTTGCTTGTTCGTCTGTGTGTGTGTGTGCGTATCTGTGTGTCTATGCATGGCTCGCTTACTCACGCACGCACGCATGCACACTCACTTATTCACTCATTTATCCACTCACACACGCACGCATGCACACACATACACACACGCGCGCGCATGTACACTCACTTATTCACTCACTTATTCACTCACGCACACCCACGGAATGCGCGTCAGATCATCATTGTTTCTGCGGAGGAGGACATCCCATATGCGCGCACACCACTTTCCAAGGAGCTCTGGTTCAAGGACCAGACAGACGAGAACGACTTCTCCTTCACGGACTGGGGCGGCCGCACGCGCGAGTGAGCTGTTGTCTTGCTGTTGGCATGTTGTTGCTGTTGTTGTGGTGTCGTCGCATTGCACCGTGTTGCTGCTTCCTCTTAACTGCCAAACACAACACTCACAATACTCCACACACACACACACACACACACACACACACACACACACACACACACACACACATGGTACGAACTGTGCACAGCATCTTCTTCCGCAAGCCGAACTTCTACCAGACGACAGATGAGCTGATGGCCTCCGATGACGCCGGCGTCGCGTTCATCCCAAAGACAAAGGTGCGCTGCGTACTCTGGCCGTTTGTGTCAGTCGTTCATGTGTGTGCATGTGTGTGTGTGTGTGTGTGTCGACAAAACACGCATAAACAGCACGAACAGCACAACCTCACACTCACGCGAATGCCCACCATTCACCACCGCCGCCACCGCCGCTACCACCATCATGCCGTGTTCAGGTGCTGACGATTGACCACTACGACAAGATCCTGGAGCTGGATGACGGGCGCGCCATCCTCTACAACAAGTGCCTCATCGCCACAGGTCCCGCACTTGCATTCCCTCGTCCTGGTGGTGGTGGTGGCGGTCCTCTTCACCAGCGCCAGCATCATCACAGACGCATGTTTGCTTGCCCATCCACAACCGCAACATCGCATACATCTTCACACACACACGCTTTTTCGCTGACCCACATCACTTGTTCAACATGGCATGGTGTGTGCAGGCGGGCGCCCGAAGCGACTGCGGCAGTTTGAGAACAAGGGCGACCTCTCGGATCGCGTCATCTACTTCCGCACCGTACGCACACACACACACGCACACACACACACATACACATACACATACACACACATATGCATTGGAGTTGGGAAGTGCACCCATGCATGAATGATGCATGCGAGAGTGCATACGAAGCCGTTCCCATACTCACGCCTACACTGAACTACAACGTACCGCCTGCCTTCAGGTTGAGGACTACAAGCGCCTTCGTGCTCTGAGCGACAGCGGCAAGGACGTGGCCGTCATTGGTGGCGGTTTCCTCGGCAGGTGCGTGAGTGTGTGCGTGAGTGCGTGCGTGTGTGTGTGGGTCTGTCCATCCCCATGTGTCACCGATGCACCACTCTTCTCGACTCGTCCCCCTCACCACCGCCACCATCACCACTGCCATTTACTTTCCAGCGAGCTGGCTGTTGCCCTCGCCACAAACGGCAAGAAGCACTCTGGCGCTGTCACGCAGGTCTTCCCGGAGAGCGGTGCGTTCAACCACACACTCTTGTGAACACGACACCGCATGACAGTGACTTGGCTTGTTTGCCTGTGTTTCCTCGCGATCCCACCACCACCACCACCACCACCACCACGATTGTGGCCGTCATCTTATCACCGTGCCTTCCTTCCACCCCATTGCAGGCAACATGGCGCAGGTGCTGCCGGAGTACTTGTGCAAGTGGACGACGAAGAAGGTCCGCTCGACCGGTGTGAATGTTGTCACAGATCGCAAAGTCGTCGACGCCTCCTTCAACGGTGCAGTGCGAACCATGTTGTGCTTGCATGCAAAGCAGTGTCGTCTTGCTTGTGGATGGGGCGGAGTCCGCTTGTGGTCGCGTGGTTGCTGCCGTTGTCATGTGCACCAACACGCTCCATTTCCAGCTCACCACCAATCATCGTCCACCCAATTGTTGTTGTGCCGCCATTCATGCGATTCAGCTGAGGAGAAGAAAGTGACGCTGAACCTCGACAACGGCGATGACGTCAAGGCCGACTACGTGCTCGGTAACGCCTCGTCACGCTACACTTTGCACATCTTGCATCATGCCGCCAATGGACACCGCGCTCACATGGGGGAGAGGAAGGACAAGGGCACATGCCCAAACACACACACACACACACATACACACACACACACACGTGCGCATGTATGGGTGCTTCCTCCCTCCCCCTCACCACAGTCACTGTCACGCCTTTTCACTGTCACACGACCCTTCTCCCTCCCAGTTGCCGTTGGGATTGAGCCGAACACGGAGCTTGCGCGTCGGAGTGGTCTTGAGATTGATCCCGTCAAGGGCGGCATCCTCGTCAACTCGGAGCTCGAGGCCAGGCGCGACATCTGGGTGGTGCGTCCAGTGGTGGTGGCAGTCAGCGTTTTCGTGTGTGTGTGTTTGTGCATTTTCATGTGTTCGAGTGTGTTCGTATGTGTGTATGTGTGCGTATGTGTGTGTGTTCGAGTGTGTTGGCGTGTGTGTTTGGAGGGATGGATGGCTGCGCTTGGTGCTGCTGTGGTTGCACGTGTGCGCTGTTGATTATGGACTGTTGTGAGTGTGCTTATCAACAACTCGTTTCACCGCACACCTCCCCTCCCTCAACACAGGCCGGCGACGTTGCGAGCTTTTACGACATGTCGCTTGGCCGTCGTCGCGAGGAGCACCACGACCACGCAGCCGTCAGCGGTGAGCAGCCCATGCACACGGGGCAAGCTGAATGGGGGGTGGGGGTGGGGTGGCGGTGGTTGTGGTGGTGCAGCTCTTGTCTCGATTGGTGCAAGATAGATACACACGCATGTACAATATCTTCTCACCAAACCACCTGCTGCCTCACACATACAAACTGTCCCATGCCATTAAGGGCGCCTTGCTGGAGAGAACATGGCTGGCGCGCGCAAGCCGTACTTCCACCAGAGCATGTTCTGGAGCGACCTTGGCCCCGAGGTCGGATATGAGGCCATCGGTATCGTCGACTCGTCCCTCCGCACCGTCGGTGTCTGGGCAGCCGCTTCGGAGAAGGACACGCCAAAGGTACGCGCAGCATGCCTGCATTGGCGGCGCAAACGTCATACACGTGTGCTGGTACCCTTGTGTGTGCGTGTGTGTTGCAAAGGATGGGTGGTCTTGCTTGTTGCTGGTCACTGACCGACGCCTTCCACTTGCACCCCCTCCACTCTCACCACTGACCACCACCACCGCCACCACCACTGTGTCTGTGGCAGGCTGCGACGGAGGCCGGCAACATCCGGGCCGGTGTTGACGAGTCCAACCCTGCGTCGTCGTCGAGCGGCGAGGGTGTGGACGACAGCAGCAGCAGCGCAGCGCCCACCGCACCCAGCAAGGAATATGGCAAGGTCCGCCCCCTGCTTGATTTGCGTGTTGATTGTGTGTGTGTGTGTGTGTGTGTGTGTGTGTGTGTGTGTGTGTGCGTGCGTGTGTTGGATGATTCAGACGCACGCGATGCGTCTTCGGTGTTCCTCGTGTTCATTTCATTTTGCTTGACGGCTGGCAAGCCGCACCGCCCACCATCGCTGTGCCTTTTCCGCTCATCCTTATGCATGTCACTGCAGGGTGTTGTGTTCTACCTGCGTGACAAGCAAGTCGTCGGTGTGCTTCTCTGGAATGTCTTCAACAAGATTCCCGTGGCCCGAAGGGTGAGACATGCACGTGATGTTGCTCCGCGCTGTGATGCATGTCACCGCGGCCTTGTGCTTGTGTTACACTTCTTCTTTGCCCGCTTCTGCTGCCACCACGTGATGCAATGTTTGGGTTTGCCTCTCATCACACACACACACACACACACACACACACACACACACACACACACACACACACACACACACACACACACACACACACACACACACACACACACACCACCACCACCACCACCACCACCACCACCACCACCACCACCACGCGTGCATGCAGTTGATTCGGGAGAGCAAGGAGTACGATGACGTGTCGGAGCTGACGAAGGTCTTCCGTCTCCACGAAAAGAGCGAGTGATCCGCAGCCAACACCACTCCAGCCGATGCCAGTCACACGTCGTGTTGCTCAACCTTCGACCCCTCAATGCCATGCACCCCCGTGCAATTCTAACCACCACCGCCACCAAGCAACTGCTTGTTTGGGGCGTGTGGCTGTTGTTGTGGTTGGTTCCACCCCTGTTTGTTCGTTGTGTGGCCGTTTCGCTGCGTTGAATACAATCATGAGCGTTATCGTCATCACTGGCGCCTTCACCCGCAACACAATCACGAGTGAAACGTCATTGGGTCGTGTGCTGTTGAGTTGTGTATGCCCTCCTCAGCTACCCAGCGCTGAAGGAAAGGGGAAAGAAGGGGATGGGCACGGTGCGGATGGTGGAGGATGGTTGGCAAAGGGATAACACGCGTGGCATGATAGAAAAGCAGGCGGGAATGAAGATGGAAAGCTGGGAGGAAGCAGGTGAAGGGGGGGGGGGGCGAGGTTGCATAGAAAGGGCTCAACAGCATGATGACCTGTCTTGCGCTGGCGAAGAAGGGACACAGACAGACAAGGCCGAGGAGGCACGCATGCGTGCATGCATGCATGCAGACACAGACACAGACACACAGACACACAGACACAGACACAGACAGACAAAGACACACGCACAAGTTGCCGCTGTTCATTGGAATCATTCGAGAGGTAATCGTCTACTGCTGCAAAGGTCGTGGCGGCCCGCCCGCTATCGCTGCCGATGCGGACGCGGACGAAGAGACCGGTGGGAGGTCATCATCGATTGTGGACCACAACTGACTCACTGTGTCCGGCTGTGTTGGAATGGGAAGCGGCGCATCCCCCTCTGCCAGTAGCGAGTACGCATCCTCCTGCTGCTGGTGTTGGTGTTGGTGTTGGTGTTGGTGTGGTATCGCGGTTGGCAGGGGTGTGGAGTGTGTCGGGTCGGTTGCTTCTGGCGTGGCCTGTGACGAGTGCACACCCTGCGGGTGTTGTAGCTGTTGGTGTTGCTGCTGTTGGTGTTGCTGTAGTTGATGTCCAGGTATTTGCTGTGCACGCGTATCGCCACCGTCATTGTGTGGCGGCTGGTTTCCGTCCACGGGCTGCAGCTCCGACTTGTCCCCGGTTTCGCAGATGAGGAGGGCGTCGATGGGACCGCTCTTGCTCGACAGAATAATGTCATACGGCGAATCATCCTGCAAAACAAACACACACACACACACACACACACACACACACACACACACGCATCATGTTGTGGTGTGAGAAGCAAGGGGAAAAGGCCTGCATGCACCAGCAGCTCGCCACAGAATGGACCTTGGTGTCATGTCAAGACGTGAGCGCGTGCCACAATCGTCCACATGATACACACGCACACACGCAAGCACAGACACACAGACGCACAGACACGCATAGACATGCACACACACACACACGCATAGACGCACAGGCACACAGTCACACACGCACGGAAGAGTGTGGCTCTGGAACGGTCAGCGTTGCGCCTGTTGGGGCTTTGATGGCAAACTTGAGCTGGTTCTTGAGCGTAGGTGTTTGAAGGAGGTCATCTTGGGTCACGTAGGCGTGGAACGGCGTGTCCAGGTCCTGAACCAGCGACTCTGTGGAGTGGACGACGGTACGCACGGCCTGCTGGATGCGTGTCAGCTCGTAATCCAGTTGCGAGATCTCCTGCTTCAACTGTTCGACTTTTGCTCTGTATTCTGCATCGCCAGCAGTGTCTTGTGCCCTGTGGATGTGTGTGTATGATTGTGTGTGTGTATGTATGTGTGTGGGTATGTGTGTGTGTGTGTGGTTAAAGGCGGGGAGGACGAGGTGTGAGGAAGACTATGCCCATGAAGCATGTACGAGCACGCACACACGCACACACACACACAACCACACACGCATGCACACATATGTACGAGCACACGCAAACACACATACTCACTGCCAGGCCACGACGTATTTGCTTGGTTTGGTGATGAGGCCCACGCCCTCCAGTACGTTGACAATGTCATAGATACGCCGCTTCTGCTTGACCTTGAGTCTGGTGTGCGCGGTCTTGAGATCAATGGTTCCGCCGTCCTTGTGCATCAGCTCCATGAACCGGCGCGTCAGCAGCACCAGGCTCTTGCTTGTGCGGCCACGCCCCTGCACGGATGATGACGGTGAGACCTGGGAATCGTCGTCGTCCGCCATCTTGGCGCAGCAGCAGCGGCAGGCGTCGGGGGACAGCAGCAGCAGCAGTGGCACCGTCAATATGCAGCGGCGGTGCGTGGCTTTTGCGCGCCAAAAGAGAAGCGCCAGTCCTGTACAACGGTCAGAATGGCTGGCTGCAACCGATCAACGGTTTCTTGGGTGGTGGTGGTGCTGGTGGAGAGAGCGTGGAGGAGAGGGTGGTCGCTCAAGCGTGCAAATCAACAGGTGCAACCAAGGAACAACAGCAGCCGTGGTGGTAGTGTCAGCGGTGGTGTGAGATGTGACTGTAACGTTCAACCAACAACCAGCAGTGCTGCACACCTCCAACACACGCAACCAAACGGCCAACAAGAAGAGCAACAAGAGCAACAAGAGGTTGTTGTGTGTTTGGCGGTTTTGTTGTTTTCCCGCCAAAATCTCATGCAAGAAGCAGAAGCAGAGGAAGAGAAAGGCGAGAGAAAGTAGAGGAAGCAGACAGTGCACGCCGAACGCAGACATGAGTGAGGTGCAGAGTGCAGAGCTGCCGCGTGAGCATGCGGAGGTGTTTGCAGCGGCCAAGAGCCTGTATCACAAGGATGAGGTTGACCAAGCAGGCGCCATCCTCTCCGATCTCCTCGAAACCATGTGTGTGTGTGTGTGTGTGTGTGTGTGTGTGTGTGTGTGTGTGTGTGCAGCAACAGCGTGTCGTCTTGTTTGTTTCTGACTGAACGCCCAGAGCACCAGCATGCCCTTTGTTTGGTTCTTACTCTCGCTTCTGACTGTGCGTGCATGACATGCAGGGTGGAGCAGTTTGGCCAGCTTGGAGGCCCCTGTGCTCGCGTGTATCAGTTGTACGGTCTCTGTCTCATCGCTTCAGCTCGGTATGCAACCTGGACACAGCAATGAGCCAGGATTGGCAGCCACGACCTCTTGCACACACACACACACACACACACACACACACACACACACACACACACACACACACACACACACACACACACACACACACACAAACACACACACACACACACATACGCACATGTAAGCGATCGCTTTCTCATTCACTCAAATCCTTTCCCCCTCCTCTCTCACGAATCACATCACCAATCCCGCAGGAAGGAGGCACCGATGATGGCTGCTGAGGACCTGATGCGGCTCGCAGACCCATCGGCACAGGCAGCAGCACCGTCCGCAGCACCTGCAGCATCTGCAGCATCCGCGTCATCGACCAGCAAAGGCGCCGCCTCTGCGTCGGCATCCTCAAAGCCTTCCACGGCCTCAACGACAGAAAAGAAGGCAGAACAGTCGCCCCGCGATGGCAATGACGACGACGACGACGATGATGGCCAACTCGACGATGATGATGAGGGTGATGGGGATGAGAAGGCAGGTGACAATCAGCAGGAAGGGCAGGCGGCGGAAGGTGATGGCGAGCAAGAGGACGACGCATCCCTGGTGCAAGTTGGGTGGGAGTGTCTGGAGTGTGCGCGCGTCATCTACAGCCGTCTCCCCGACAGCGAGGAGACGCGCACGCGACAAGCCGACGTCCACTTTGAGCTCGGCTCCGTCTACCTGGAAACAGACCAGTACCGCGAGGCGGAGGAGGAACTTGGTGTGTGTTGTGCGTGTGCGTGTGCGTGTGTGTGTGTTTGTGTGAGTGAGTGAGTGAGTGTGTGCGTGTGTGTGTATGTGTATGTGTGTGTGTGTATGTGTATGTGTGTGCGTGTGAGTGTGTGTGTGTGTGTGTGTGCAATCGGTTGTGTTCCATGCCCCTACGTCGTTTCCTGTCTAACATCGCCTCCTTGCATCTTGTCTCCGCCACGACTCCTGCAGAGCAATGTGTGGCGCTGCGCCGCAAATGGCGACCAAGCACACGTGATCTCGCGCAAGCGTACGTCTCTCCCGCTCTCTCGCACAGACACACACACTCTCTCGCACAGACACACATACACACTCTCTGCCTCCCTGTCTCCTGTCTCCTGTCTCTCGGGCGCATTCGCACATCCTCTCCCCCCTTCTCTTACGCTGTGTATCTGCATGTGCGACCCCAGGTTGTTCCAGCTGGGCATCGCACACCGGCAACTGAAGCAGAGCCAAAAGGCGATTGCCGCCTTTTCCGAAGCCGTCGACATCCTCGATGCCCTCATCCGTGCGTACACACACACACACACACACACACACACACACACACACACACACACACACACACACACACACACACACACATCTGATGTGCTTGTGCTCATCGTCCATCACTCCACCGTCCCAACACTCCACGACTTCTCCCCACCATCATCACCAGGTGAGGTTGATGGGAAGAGCGACAAGCGGTCCCAGCGTTCTCTCCGCGATCTCAAAGCCGTTCGAGCAGAGGTGGCCGCACACAGGATGCAAGCAATGCAGCAGGCTGTGGCGCCAACAGCCAGCTCGTCTGGAAACGTGCGTCGTTGTGTGTGTGTGTGTGTGTGCGTGTGTGTGTGTGCGTGTGTGCGTGTGTGTGCGTGCGTGCGTGAGTGCGTGTGTGTCGTGTATGTGTGTGTTGTGACGCAACTCAGGCTCGCGTTGCTGTTGAGAGAAGCTTGGTTCATCTCACTTGTCACACACACACACACACACACACACACACACACACACACACACACACACACACACACACACACACACACACACACACACACACACACACACACACACACACACACACACACACACACACACACACACACACACACGTACGACAGGTTGCGAGCATGACGGACACGTTCGATGCGCCGACGGTGACGTCGCCAACAACACACATTGCCGCCGTCAAGCCGCGCAAGAAGACCAAGGCCAAGAACAAGGCAAAGGCAACGGCAGATACAAAGGCGAAGGTGGTACCGAGCAAAGGCGATGATGGCCAAGCAGTGAGTCACACGTGTCAGTGCCTTGCATCGTTGTTCTGGTTGATATTGTCTGCATGTGTGGAACGCGAACGTGAACATGCGTGCACTCACCCATGCGTTGTATTGCGTGTGCGGTTCCACTCACCCTGCTGTGTAGGATGCCAAGAAAGCGAAGATGTCCAAGGAATGAACAAGGCGGCCGCCACCTCCAACACAGTTCTCCTCTTCCCCATATGTTGCAGTCGTCTCATCACAAACACGCTGTTCATTCACTTGTGGTCCACACAGCAAACCAGTACACCACAGTTATCCATCAACACATGACACACGACACGGCAGCACGCAGAGAGGACCCAAAGCGGGAGTTGTGGGGAGAAAGAAAGAAGGGTGAAGAACACTTACACAAGCACACATTGACACATGAACTAGACAGGAGCACAGACAACAGTTCACGACAGATGGTTGGTTGGCTGTTGGTTGTCGATGGTAGTGGTACGCTTAGTGGTGCTCCTCGTCACCGTGCTCGTGCAGGTGGTCCCAAGGATGCTCAAAGCCCTGAATATGGCGAGAGGAGGTGGGGTGGGGTCAAGAGTCAATACAAGCCAGTCCATGAACAACAAACACATGTGTGTGTGTGCAAAACATGTGCAAACTGTGACAAGCACAGGTGTAATCGGTGACAGCAGCAAGCTCATGCGTACCAAGAGGTGGGGAAGGTCGTGCTTTGCCCTCCACAGAATCCAGAACCACATCACTGCGCCCATGCCCGTGGCCGCATACGAGTACCTGCGTCAAGCGCACAGGAACAGCAAGGGTGGCAGCAGAGTTAACGATGCGCGAGAACCACAAGCAACATCATTCCGTTTTAAGTGGGAGAAGGTTGACGAATGAACAGCTCAGCACAAAGACGCAAGCAAGGAGGGAAACAAGGACGAGGGCGAAGTAACGCTCAAACAATCACAACAACGGTTAATTCGACACTACCAACGTACATTGGGCTTGGCTCAATGGGCGTGACACTCTCGGAGTACTTGTGTGCATCTGCGCCACCGTGAGATGCATTGCGCGCCCCTTGACGAAGAGGTGCGGCGCGTGCGCGCATCGCCTGCACATAAAGCGGAACATAAAGAAACAGCGACAAATGAACCACAATGACAAGCAGCAATGTCTGGTGGTGCCTTCTTACACACACAGACATACACACACACACACACACACAGACACAGACACACACAGACACACAGACACACAGACACACACACACATACACACAGACACACACACAGACACACACACAGACACACACACACACACACACACACACACACACAAACACACACACCCTTGCCAGCAGTCGGTGCATCATCTTCGAGGTTGTGTGCTTATGGAAAAGTGACGAATAACTTCAGCAAAAATTCCGCAAGCTAGTCATGCTGCCTTCGCCCTCTGTGTTTCGGGGAACGCTGTATTGTATGACCAGAGATGGAACGGAGCGTAACGGGCGGGTAGGAGAAAGGTGAATGAAGGCTGTGGGGGAGGACAAGCGACGGCAGCAAGGCGACATTCAGTATGGAAGGGCAAAACAACGGGCAGGTGGTGGGGGAACGAAAAGCGGGAAGGACGAAAAGTAGAGGGGGAACGGGAAGGACCACTGGACCACCAAACAGAAACAAGTGTGCTTGGGAGGAAACGGTGAACCAAAGCCAGCTGTAACGTGCCAACACGTGAAAGGGCCGACAAAGGCGAACAGGCGGGATGATGAAGAATCTACACGCACTGCAGAGGAAAGTTGATAGCACCGTAAAATGGCGGATTGCAGAGGAAAGAGTGAGTATTTGCCGTGTTTCCTCGCAAGAACAAAGAAATACAACAAGAGCCGATGTGCTCGTGCATGCACAACGAAAGGAACGAAGGAATGGAAGCTTGCAAAAACGTTGTACCGTCAACGAACGCAGAATGGCAGAAGACTATCCAGTACCATGGAACAAGGAAGCGACAAAACAACAAAGCAACAATCTGCCATGAAACAGCAATGGCAAGCGTGAGCTGAGAGTGTGAAGGAGGGGGATGACGAGACGAGACGCCTAGATGTAACACCGAACCAACGAGGAAACGACACCAACAACCTTGTTGGCGGACGGGTGGCGGGCCGTTGCGTTCAGGCGTTCAGGCCTCAAACACGAGGATGCCGCGCACGAGGACACAGGACGGGTCGTTGATCACAATCTCGGCGGCGGTGCGCTTGCTGGCCCATTCTGTGGGTGCGAGGGGGAATGCGTCAGCCTTGCTGCCGGTGCTGAAATCGACGACGGCAACATGGGCGTCGTGTCCGCCAACGAGCGGCTTGCCGTTAAAGGTGACAGCGTCCGGCACTGGGTATGGGTTGCCATACTGCACGTCACACACCAGGACCACCCGGAACTGCTTGCCTGCAGGCAAATTCAGGTGCTGCAGCTCAGGCGGCACATCCTTACACTTCTTCGTGTACTCGAGAGCATAGTCGAGGTCGTGCGTAAAGTAGAAGCCAGCACCGTACCAGCCATTGTCAGTCTTCTGCAGCTGTGCGAAATCGCCGCCCAGGATGCTCATGGCCACAGCAAACGACGGCACGCCATGGAACACGCGCTGCAGGCGAAGATGCACATCAGGCTGCATCATGGCCGGGTCCAGCACCTTGTACGATGAAGCGCCAGCAGGGTGGAGGGTGGCGCGAGCAAGGACAGCAGCCTCCTCGGCGTTGATGGGCGCACCCGTTGCCTGACCCATCTGGTACTTGGGATGGAACGGGTGGTTGGCGCTGCTCATGTGACCACGATAACGGGTCTGGTTGCGGTGCACGGCGCCGTTGAAGGCAGCATTCTTCTGGCTGCACTGCACAACAGCGACACCAGCAACGGTCTTGCCAAAGGGCTGCAGAGGAGCTGCTGTTGCTTCATCACTTGAGCGGCCGCCAGCTTCCGTGATCATCTGTCGTGTGGTTGTGGGGTGGGAGACAAGAGAAGAGTGGGTGACCGGTGAGTGTGAAAGGGAGTGATGAAGGGATGGGATGAAGGGGCGTGATTAACATGTCGCAGCAACCCATTGCTTCACACGAATACGCGCGCACACACACACACACACACACACACACACACACACACACACACACACACAATCTCACCTGATTGGCGATGGCGATGGCCTTGTCGTGGGCAGCGCCAACCGCAGCAATGCGCACTGACGCGCGGGTTGGATGAGTCACCATGAACGACTGCAGTGGTTCGAGGACGTTGGGCTGCCACTTCCACGCGGCACTGGCAGGACCGTGCAGCTGCTCGTGTTGCTGTTCCATATCGACTGCGTGCTGTTCTTTGGCGGCTGTGTACTGCCCACCCAGCGTGCCTTGCAGCTGAACAAACGATGGTCGGTTGCCGCTGACGTCAAAGCACTGACCAAGCACCTGCTGCACCGCATCGCTCAGCCTGCGACCATCAACCTCAACGTCAAGCGGGAGGTATCTGCCCTTCTCATACGCTCTGGCAATTGTGGAGATGTTCGCGCCACCCAGCGCAGCGTATGACCTTCAAAACCATGTCTTGCTTCATCACTTGAGCGGCCGCCAGCTTCCGTGATCATCTGTCGTGTGGTTGTGGGGTGGGAGACAAGAGAAGAGTGGGTGACCGGTGAGTGTGAAAGGGAGTGATGAAGGGATGGGATGAAGGGGCGTGATTAACATGTCGCAGCAACCCATTGCTTCACACGAATACGCGCGCACACACACACACACACACACACACACACACACACACACACACACACACAATCTCACCTGATTGGCGATGGCGATGGCCTTGTCGTGGGCAGCGCCAACCGCAGCAATGCGCACTGACGCGCGGGTTGGATGAGTCACCATGAACGACTGCAGTGGTTCGAGGACGTTGGGCTGCCACTTCCACGCGGCACTGGCAGGACCGTGCAGCTGCTCGTGTTGCTGTTCCATATCGACTGCGTGCTGTTCTTTGGCGGCTGTGTACTGCCCACCCAGCGTGCCTTGCAGCTGAACAAACGATGGTCGGTTGCCGCTGACGTCAAAGCACTGACCAAGCACCTGCTGCACCGCATCGCTCAGCCTGCGACCATCAACCTCAACGTCAAGCGGGAGGTATCTGCCCTTCTCATACGCTCTGGCAATTGTGGAGATGTTCGCGCCACCCAGCGCAGCGTACTTGCCATGGTACCAGGGCTTGATGTTGAGGAACAGCTCCCACACCAGAACAGCAAAGGAAAACACGTCCGTGTCCATGCGGAGCTCCTGTCCCTCCAAGAGCTGCTCGGGCGATGCCCACAGCGGTGTGCCACCACCATGTGTCAGCACGGACTTGTCTGCCGACTTGAAGGTGCTCAGGCCAAAGTCCGTCACCTTGGCGGAGAGCGATGCGTCCAGCAGTACGTTGGGCGACTTGAGGTCGCGGTGCACGACGTTGTGGGCGTGAAGGAACGCCATGGCACAGGCCACCTCAAATGCAACGCGAAGACAAGTTGGCTCGTCAAGCAGCTGCTTCTTCACGTGCAACAGGTCGTAGAGGGACCCGTTCTCGGCCCAGCTCAGCACAAAGGCCAGCGTCTGGCTCTGCTCATCGTGGGTGAGGCCAAGGAAGTGCACAATGTTGGGATGACGGAGGGAGAGCAGGATGAGCGCCTCGCGTCGCAACTGCTTCAAATGGTCTGGAACGTCCTCAGACCCAGCAACGCATGCGATGATTTCGGAGAGGCGAGGGCGATTCTGGACGGGCATTTGCTTGAGAGCAACCGGCTGTCCTGCCAGCTCCGCCTTGAAGAGAGAACCAAAGGCGCCACCAACGGGCTTGCCGTTGATGTCGAATACTCGCACTTTCCCCACAAAACGGGACGACGGGATGTTCAGGTTCAACACGCCCTCTGTATGCAGACGTAAGAGGTGGTATGCAGACGATAATTGATGAAGGCGAGAACCGTGTGGGTTGCAGATCTCAAGCACAATCAACGCAAGTACTAAAGTGGACGTTGTGCAATCAACACCACCAACAGAACTGCACTGACCGAGCTGCTCTTCCCAGTTGTCCTTGAGTTCTACGCGTGTCTTGAAGAAGGCGTTCTCCTGTGCCAACTGTTGCGAATGCGATTCTGGCACACAAGAAGAAGGGATGGGGTTGGAGTGAGGAGGAAAGCAACTGAGAAAACCAAGAAGAGAGCAGCGAGCCACCCCCGCAAAAACCACCCTCTGTCAACAGTCACGCACAACGTTACCAAAGTGCTTGACGATGTCTTCAGAGTTGCTGAGAGCTTCACTCAACGCAGTAACTTGTTGCTCAAGCTCAGCGATGCGCGCATCTGAAGGTGGGGCGGATGAGGGAGTTGGAAGGTGTAGTGAGAGGAAATGGGGAGCACGGGACAAAGGACGGAGAGAGGGAAGGACACGGTGGAGACGTTGGCAATCACATCCACTCACCTGCATCGTTGAGGGAGGACGTCTTGGAAGCCAGCTGCTGCTGGACTGACTCGAGGTTCTGCTGCAGCTTTGCGTTTGCTTGTTGAACCGCACTGAGTTCCGCATCTGTGTCATGTCAGGTACACCGTGTGGCGTGGCGTGGAAACATGAGACAGGGTGACGCAGAGAAACTGTGTACAGAAGCACAGTGGTGGCTGCTTACTTTTCTCTTGAAGCTTCTTCTTGAGCGCAATCTCCGACTGGTATGAGAATACAATGTTGAAGGTGAATGCGTGAAACGTGTGAGTTTGTGGGCACAATGGAAGAGCAATACAGGTCGGGTTCAACTGGAGAGCGACAACGCACCGAAGGCTTGGCCGATGAGCCTGGCGAAGACGGGGGAGCGACTGCTGCGTGTAGTGGGTGGGAAGGTTGCGGCGTGTTTTGCTGGCGGCGCTCGTTCATGCGCTTGTCAAAGGCGTGTCTCACATCTTCGTTTTCACCGTCACTAACAGAACAGCATCGAGGTAAACGGCAAGAGTGGTGTGGGGTCAGGCAGCAACATCGTCACGCAGTCGCTCGGCTGCGCGGGGTTGGGTGTCGAATTGCATTGCACGTATCAAACAGGACATTGAACGTACAACTTGACGGTGATGTTGCGATGGGGATCGAGCGCATTGGCGATGGTGATGGCGCGGTCGGCAGTCATCCAGAATCGGCTCAAACTGCAGGAGAGAGGAACAAGGAATTAGATTGTGAGAAGAAATGGTTGATGTGACATTCCCCGAAGAATGCCAATGGCAACACGATATGTCGCGCCTGAAAGCGCACGGGGCAGAGCAAACGTACTCCAGGGTCTGCAGGCAGTGGTTGGACTTGAGAGCAACAGCAAGGGCGTCGATGTACGCGTCACTGCAAAAGGCCAAAAGGCAATGCACAATGATGGACATATTACATACAAGTCACACAACAACCGTGAAACCAAACGTATGCAGCGCATCATCACCATCATCATCCACAATAGTACAGTACACTCTCGTGTGAGCGCGTGAGGCATATGAGTGTGTGAGCGGGTCAGCTACAAGCATCCGTCACTCAACGCAAACTCACAACACTTGTCACCAACAGAGTCCACAACACATGCACCCAAGCACTCAATTGCGCAAACAAACCTCGCTCAACCACAACAACAACACAAACCATCACAAACACACACCACACTCCCATCACCTTCCTCAGCACAACACCATGCACAACGGACACAGCGGACAATCACAACACAAACATCAACACAAACATCAACGCATGTGCAGACTGCGAGTCAACGTACCGACTGTTCAGTCACACGTTCCACGCAACAAAGTTGTAGTTGCGCATTCAGCCGCAACGTCATGCCATGCCACGTCGTGTCATGCCATGCCATGTCATGTCAAATGGTGGTTCCCAAGAGCAACAAAACACAAAAAGCGACACAAACAAAACGTATGCAGCGCATCATCATCATCATCATCCACAATAGTACAGTACACTCTCGTGTGAGCGCGTGAGTATATGAGTGTGTGAGCGGGTCAGCTACAAGCCTCCGTCACCCAACGCAAACTCACAACACTTGTCACCCAACAGAGTCCACAACACATGCACCCAAGCACTCAATTGCGCAAACAAACCTCGCTCAACCACAACAACAACACCAACCATCACAAACACACACCACACACTCCCATCACCTTCCTCAGCACAACACACAATCACAACAGACACAACAGACAATCACAACACAAACACCAACACACACACATCAACGCATGTGCAGGCTGCGAGTCAACGTACAGGCTTTTCAGTCACACGTTCCACGCAGCAACAAAGTTGTAGTTGCGCATTCAGCCGCAACGTCATGCCATGTCATGCCATGCCACGTCATGTCAAATGGTGGTTCCCAAGAGCAACAAAACACAAAAAGCAACACAAACAAAACGTATGCAGCGCATCATCATCATCATCATCCACAATAGTACAGTACACTCTCGTGTGAGCGCGTGAGGCATATGAGTGTGTGAGCGGGTCAGCTACAATCATCCGTCACCCAACGCAAACTCACAACACTTGCCACCCAACAGAGTCCACAACACATGCACCCAAGCACTCAATTGCGCAAACAAACCACGCTCAACCACAACAACAACACCAACCATCACAAACACGCACCACACACTCCCATCACCTTCCTCAGCACAACACCATGCACAACGGACACAACAGACAATCACAACACAAACATCAACACAAACATCAACGCATGTGTAGGCTGCGAGTCAACGTACGGGCTGTTCAGTCACACGTTCCACGCAACAAAGTTGTAGTTGCGCATTCAGCCGCAACGTCATGCCATGCCATGTCATGCCACGTCATGTCAAATGGTGGTTCCCAACAGCAACAAAACACAAAAAGCAACACAAACCAAACATATACAGCGCATCATCATCATCATCATCCACAATAGTACAGTACACTCTCGTGTGAGCGCGTGAGGCATATGAGTCTGTGAGCGGGTCAGCTGTAAGCATCTGTCACCGAACGCAAACTCACAACACTTGACACCCAACAGAGTCCACAACACATGCACCCAAGCACTCAATTGCGCAAGGTACAAACGCACTAGCTCAACCACAACAACAACACCAACCATCACAAACACACACCACACACTCCCATCACCTTCCTCAGCACAACACCATGCACAACGGACAATCACAACGGACAATCACAACACACACATCAACACAAACACATCAACACATGTGCAGGCTGCGAGTCAACGTACTCGCTGTTCAGTCACACGTTCCACGCAGCAACAAAGTTGTAGTCGCGCATTCAGCCCGCACCGTCCATGTCATCCATGTCATGGCACGTCATTCAAATGGAGGTTTCCACCAGCAACAAAACCCAAAAACCAACACAAACCAAACGTATGCAGCGCATCATCATCATCATCATCATCATCCACAATAGTACAGTACACTCTCGTGTGAGCGCGTGAGGCATATGAGTGTGTGAGCGGGTCAGCTACAATCATCCGTCACCCAACGCAAACTCACAACACTTGTCACCCAACAGAGTCCACAACACATGCACCCAAGCACTCAATTGCGCAAACAAACCTCGCTCAACCACAACAACAACACAAACCATCACAAAAACACACCACACACTCCCATCACCTTCCTCAGCACAACACCATGCACAACGGACACAACAGACAATCACAACACAGACATCAACACACACACATCTACGCATGTGCAGGCTGCGAGTCAACGTACAAGCTGTTCAGTGACACGTTCCACGCAGCAACAAAGTTGTAGTTGCGCATTCAGTCGCAACGTCATGCCATGCCACGTCATGTCGTGTCATGTCATGTCATGTCAAATGGTGGTTCCCAAGAGCAACAAAACACAAAAAGCAACACAAACCAAACGTATGCAGCGCATCATCATCATCATCATCCACAATAGTACAGTACACTCTCGTGTGAGCGCGTGAGTATATGAGTGTGTGAGCGGGTCAGCTACAAGCATCCGTCACCCAACGCAAACTCACAACACTTGACACCCAACAGAGTCCACAACACATGCACCCAAGCACTCAATTGCGCAAACAAACCACGCTCAACAACAACAACAACACAAACCAACACAAACACATACCACACACTCCCATCACCTTCCTCAGCACAACACCATGCACAACGGACACAACACAACACAAACACCAACACACACACATCAACGCATGTGCAGGCTGCGAGGTCAACGTACGCGCTGTTCAGTCACACGTTCCACGCAACAAAGTTGTAGTTGCGCATTCAGCCGCAACGTCATGCCATGCCATGTCATGTCGTCGCCATGCCAAGTCATGTCAAATGGTGGTTCCCACAGCAACAAAACACAAAAAAGCAACACAAACCAAACGTATACAGCGCATCATCATCATCATCATCCACAATAGTACAGTACACTCTCGTGTGAGCGCGTGAGGCATATGAGTCTGTGAGCGGGTCAGCTGTAAGCATCTGTCACCGAACGCAAACTCACAACACTTGTCACCCAACAGAGTCCACAACACATGCACCCAAGCACTCAATTGCGCAAACAAACCACGCTCAACCACAACAACAACACCAACCATCACAAACACGCACCACACACTCCCATCACCTTCCTCAGCACAACACCATGCACAACGGACACAACAGACAATCACAACACAAACATCAACACAAACATCAACGCATGTGTAGGCTGCGAGTCAACGTACGGGCTGTTCAGTCACACGTTCCACGCAACAAAGTTGTAGTTGCGCATTCAGCCGCAACGTCATGCCATGCCATGTCATGCCACGTCATGTCAAATGGTGGTTCCCAACAGCAACAAAACACAAAAAGCAACACAAACCAAACATATACAGCGCATCATCATCATCATCATCCACAATAGTACAGTACACTCTCGTGTGAGCGCGTGAGGCATATGAGTGTGTGAGCGGGTCAGCTACAAGCCTCCGTCACCCAACGCAAACTCACAACACTTGTCACCCAACAGAGTCCACAACACATGCACCCAAGCACTCAATTGCGCAAACAAACCTCGCTCAACCACAACAACAACAACAACACAAACCAACACAAACACATACCACACACTCCCATCACCTTCCTCAGCACAACACCATGCACAACGGACACAACAGACAATCACAACACAAACATCAACAAACATCAACGCATGTGCAGGCTGCGAGTCAACGTACGCGCTGTTCAGTCACACGTTCCACGCAGCAACAAAGTTGTAGTTGCGCATTCAGCCGCAACGTCATGCCATGCCATGTCATGCCACGTCATGTCAAATGGTGGTTCCCAACAGCAACAAAACACAAAAAGCAACACAAACCAAACGTATGCAGCGCATCATCATCATCATCATCATCATCCACAATAGTACAGTACACTCTCGTGTGAGCGCGTGAGGTATATGAGTGTGTGAGCGGGTCAGCTACAAGCATCCGTCACCCAACGCAAACTCACAACACTTGTCACCCAACAGAGTCCACAACACATGCACCCAAGCACTCAATTGCGCAAACAAACCTCGCTCAACCACAACAACAACACAAACCATCCCAAAAACGAACACACACTCCCATCACCTTCCTCAGCACAACACACAATCACAACAGACACAACAGACAATCACAACACAAACACCAACACACACACATCAACGCATGTGCAGGCTGCGAGTCAACGTACAGGCTGTTCAGTCACACGTTCCACGCAGCAACAAAGTTGTAGTTGCGCATTCAGCCGCAACGTCATGCCATGTCATGCCATGCCACGTCATGTCAAATGGTGGTTCCCAAGAGCAACAAAACACAAAAAGCACACAAACCAAACGTATGCAGCGCATCATCATCATCATCATCCACAATAGTACAGTACACTCTCGTGTGAGCGCGTGAGGCATATGAGTATGTGAGCGGGTCAGCTACAAGCATCCGTCACCCAACGCAAACTCACAACACTTGTCACCAACAGAGTCCTCAACACATGCACCCAAGCACTCAATTGCGCAAACAAACCTCGCTCAACCACAACAACAACACCAACCAACACAAACACATACCACACACTCCCATCACCTTCCTCAGCACAACACAATGCACAACGGACACAACAGACAAGCACAATACAAACATCAACATGCAGGCTGCGAGTCAACGTACGGGCTGTTCAGTCACACGTTCCACGCAGCAACAAAGTTGTAGTTGCGCATTCAGCCGCAACGTCATGTTGTGTCATGTCGCGTTCCACACCCAACGCGCGCGCACGAGTCGTTCGGGTTTCATATGTGTCCACGGCACCGTGTTCCATGATCGCGCACATGCAACGTGTGGCACACAGTCGTCAATGAAATGTTCAAGAGGAGGCGGTGAGCGCGAGACTTGATTCTTCTTGTGAACCTCATAACCTCATTTGCGCAAGTCGTCAATTCAGTTGAGCGGACACAGCAACACTGTCTCATGAGCGTCGCATTACATTACTGTTCACCATCACCACAACGTTATCGCGTCTTCACATTTCGTTGCTACAGCACATGCATGCTCACTCAAGTTCAACAGCTATGACTTACGCTCTGCGGTCCAAGAAGGAGAAGAAATTGAGGTGTGATAAAATGGGGCATGGGCGGCAGGAACAAGAGGTGAGCAAGCGACCAAACACGAATGTAAATATTACCCGTGACTGTATGCATGCTCCCCGTCCAAATAAACGCTTGCTAGCTACCAAGCAGCTATCCCTTCACATTTTCAGCAGGACTCACTTGAAGGTTGGTCCACATGTGTTGTTGGCGATGGATCGCAGCTCATCCTTAGCGTCCTGGTGAAGCCAGAACATCGCCGCCAGCTTGGTTTCCAGCTCCTGGGAGGTCATGACTTGTTGTTGTCGATGAATGCTCCTTCAGGTGTCTTGAGTGTGTGTTCACACAACTTTTTGTGCAAGAGTGTGGCTGTGTACTGTTGCCTGCAGGCAAAGGCAGAAGGCAAGCCTGCGAGAGTGTGATGCTTCTGTCCTGTTGTTCTTGTTGTCCTGTTCAGCCACAGCTGTTTTCACTCACAAACAAAAAGGTGTGAGAATGCCAAGGCGGTGCGTGTGGTGTGTGTGTGTGTGTGCCAGGCCTTTGGTTAAGGTGAGAAGGAAGGTCAAGCCTCGTTGTTGGTGTTGAGTCGTTTCGGTGCGTGCGGACAGTGGCTGGGGTGTTGTGGTTCTGGTGGTGTTAGGGTGACTGTGTGCTTTGTTTTGTTTTGTTTGGCTGGAGGAAGTTTGTGGTGTGTTTTCCTGCGAATTTTCACCAAGCAAAGCCACCAACATCAATTCTGACTTTCCACACCTCGGCAATTTTGCCCTTCTCCCCAGCAAACCAAACTCACAACATCGCCCTTTCCTGCTCGCTCGCTTGCTTGCCATGCCGTGCTGTGACTCGACTGAGTTTTACTTCCATTCCATTACAGACAACCAATGATCGACCTCCCTCTACCTCCTTCTCTGTCCTCACACGTCTGATGCCGGCACATGGTGCTCACGCTGCTTTTCACCTTCGCTTCCTTTTCCCCTCGATTCCACCACCACGATATCTCGAACACCACCACCACTTACTTCCTCTTCCTCTTCTTCTCCATCCACTTCCTCCTCCTCCTCATCCTCTTCAAACTCCACTAAGTCCTCTTCCTCCTCTTCCTCCACCCCTTCTTCTTCTTCCTCCTGCAGAGCTTCCACACCACTTTCCCTTTCCTGCGACCCTCTCTTCCCTGGTTGCCCTCTTCCTTTCTTGTGCTTGTTCTTCTTCTTCAGCCCTGCCGCTGCTGTCTTGGCCGTGTTGAGTGTGCGGGAGATGAGCCGCAGCGCCGGTTTCGCCCCAATCGACGACGCGCGCGTCGCCCTCAGCTCCTCCCGCACAACGGGCTGGTGCGAGTGAGTGAATGAATGAATGAATGAATGAATGAGTGAGTGAGTGAGTGAGTGAGTGAGTGAGTGAGTGAGGGCAAGCGAACCCAGACGCTCGCTGTCACCAAAGCACACAACGAGAACGCACGGCCATCCTCACCGTGGCGACAACAATGCGTCCATCCTTGAGACCCACAACAAGAAAGCGGTCGTCTGGGGATATCGTGAGCGCCGTCACGGGCGCACCAATCGACAGCCGCTGCTTGCGCTCCAACCTACAACCAGCCAAAATAAGCAAGCAGGTGGTGAGTTGTAGGAATCGGGCACACACACACACACATACACACACATACACAGACACATACACAGACACATACACACACACACACACACACGCACACACACACACACACACACACACACACACACACACACACACACACACACACACACACACACACACACACACGTGAGGGCGTCGAGGAAGAGGACTTCAGCGCCGCGTCCGGCGACGAGGAGGTGGGAGCCGTCCACCATCCACGCCATGGCCGCAATGTGCTGCATCTCCGTGGTGACGGCAAGCAGCTCACCGTTGCAGCTGTACAGCGCAATGGAGTACCGCCGCCGCTTCCTGTTCACCTCCAGGCTGAAGGCGCAGCCGACGGCAACGCGCCCATCGCAGCTCACCGCCGTGGCGAAGATGCGCGGCGCAGCGTGGCCGTGTTGCCGCAGCAGCGACACCGCACCCCCAGCACCACTCGTCCCATTGCTGTTGTCGCCACCCTCGTTGTCGTTGTTGTCGCCGTCGGGAACGGTTTCGGGGGACATTGGCGACGTGAACGTATCGCCACCACCACTGCCACCACCGCCACCACTGTCCTCATCGCCGTCCCCTGCTGTTGCGGCGTGACCGTTCTCTTGCATCGCTTACATTCTCCCTCCCTCCCTCCCTCTGTTCTGTTACTGCTTCGCTTAGTTGGTTCCATTACGGGCTGGCTAGTTGAGCGGCGGAAGTTGCAGTGTTGTGGGGTCTGTTGTCGTGTCGAGCGTGGCCTGGTCCGCGAAGAAACGGTCATATCACATCGAAAACGACAACGCGCGGGACGTGATGTGAGCGCCCAGCAGAAGTTTGCAACAGCCCACTAAGCAGACAGACACACACGTGGTTGCGTATTTCTTATTGGTGTCGTGCATGCAGCGAGCGCAGCGACCTCACCGTGATGGGGTGGCCGCAGATGAGGAGGCGAAGACGGTAGCTGAACACGCGCCATTCTGCCTCTGTAAACGGAGCGACAGTACCGCCATACAGCCGTGATACTGCAGAGCACACAGCACACTGACGCGGACACCGAAGCCAACGGGCAAACAAAGAGATTGGTGAACGCAAATCAAGGAAAGGAGTGTGGATGTTTGATCTTCAAAAGATGTTCGCAAAGACACACACACACACACACACACACACACACACACACACACACACACACACACACACACACACGCACACACACACACACACACACACACACACACACACACACACACACACACACACACACCTGGGAGCGATCGACGCAGGTTGCACGGCGAAGGCACTCGAGAATGATGTCCTCGCAGTTGACGGCGGGCCCACGCAGCGCGTCCTGGCGCTGTCGTGACAGCGACGCCGCCCGTGTCCCGGGTTGGTTCGCCCCGCACTGGCCACGGTGCTTCAGTCGCACAAACCACGCGTGCGCCCCTTTCACCTGTGTGGGCGTGGCCTTGGAGCAGCGGCGCAGAAACGCGCGCACACACGTCTCCGGCACTTGCACTGTTCCACCGCCACCATCGCAGTGCGTGCCACCACCACCACCACCACCACGTCGAAGGGCCGCCCAGAGGGCAACCGGGTGACGAGGGCGCAGCGTGCCCGAGAGTTGCTCAGCAGTCACGGCACCAACCGTGCCGTGCACGTAGCAGGCATCGCCGACCACTTGTCCCTCATCCTCCTCATCGTCATTGCCATCGTCGTCACTGTCGTCATTGCCGTCATCGTCACTGGCCGTGGCGGCCGTCAGTTTGGCACGCTTCTGGTCACGTGCACCCTCAGCGTTGTCGCCGACACGACGCGTTTCCTTCTGCCCACCCTTGCCCACTTGTTCTCCTCCGGCCTGTACGGGTAGGGACAACGGGGTGTCGTTGTTCACGGTCGATTGGCTGGCTTGTGTGCTCTCCCCGTCGTTCTCGCCACCCTTACCATCGCCAGCATCACAGGTATCATCATCAACGCGTGTTGTCTGTGTCACCAGCTGCTGCGTGCCAATGCCCTCCGTGTCCTGTTCCGTGTCGTCTTCCGTCTGCATCGAATCCTCACCACCACCCGCCTCCTCAGCCGTGTCTCCGTCCCCTTCAGTTTGTGTCTCATCAATGCCGCTAACGTTGGCGCGAGCATCGGCTTGTTGTTGTTGTGTTCGTTTGGTGTCGTCACCATCAGAAGTGCACTTTGCGCGCTTGGCAGGGCTGCTGCTGTTGTTGCTGTACCCATGCTGATGTTGCCGTTGTTGCTGCATCTGTCCTCCTCCTCCTCCTTCTCCTCCCCTGTCTTCCATCTGCTTCACTTCCTGCTTCACTTCCTGTGTCACTGCTTGCTCTTCTTCTCCCGCCCCTGTGCGCTTGACACTGCGACGACCAGTGCTGCGACGTCCACTCTTCCTCCTCCTTCCTCTCCGCCCACCACGCGGCTTGCGTTTGCTTTTGCCGATGTTGGCAGGCGGTTCTTGCTGGTTGTTGTCTGTCACGGCCGCCCCCGTATCGTTGTCGTCGTTGTCGTCATCGTTGCCGGTGGTGGTTGTGGTGCTCCTGCGCTTGCTTCGTCTGCGGCTGCGCGGTGTTTGCGATGCGACACGCAAGCGCCGCCCACTCCGCAGCTGCTGCGTGTCCGCGCACGAGTCGCAGTGCTCAATCAGGTCCTCCATCAGCGAAAACTCCTCACCACAGATGGGACAGTGCAGGTCCACGCCACCATCTGGCGCGTCAGCGGTGGTGTCGTTGACGGTGTCCTGCTGCGATGTGCTTGGTTGCACCCGTTGATCGTGCCCTCTGTCGGCCTCGTTCTGCTGCTCCTGCTGCTCTTGTCGTTGCTGCTGTTCATCTTGCTCTTCTTGTTGTTGTTGGTGTGCTTGCGTGATGGCATTGCCCAGCAAGTGCTGGGTCAGGATGGAGGTGGGGCTGAGTGGCGGTGCAGCTTTGTTCTTGGATGACGGCTGGGGCGTAGAAGCGCCTGCCGTTGTGCTGGTCTCATCAGCATGGCTGATCCCCTCGGTTGTTCTCACTTCCTTCCCCTCTTCGTCCTCCCCTTCCTCTTCCTCTTCTCCGCCCTCTTCCTCCTCTTCTTCCCCTCCCTCCTCTTGTTCAACCTCCTCCTCCACCTCCTCCACCACCTCCTTTGCCTGCTCCTGCTCCATTGCCTCCTCAGCCTCCTCGATAAACCGTAGTGTGTCTTCACCCAGCTGCGTGCAGTACAGTTGCGATTGCGCCGTGTCGTTGTCACCATCACCATCGCCGTCGCCATCGCCATCACCATCAGCATCGTCAACGTCACAGGGCCTGTCCTGCTTGACTTCCGAGCCCGCCTCCTTCCTGGGCGCCTGCAGTCCTGCGGCACACACCGTGTGCGTGGCTTCAGGCTTCCCACCAGCCTTTGTCCCCGTCTGCTGTTGGATATCGTGTCCGTTCTTCTTGTCCCCGCTGTGCTGCTGCTTCACGAGTCCACGCAGGTCCACCCGCATGCTGCCGTCGCCACACACGACAATGCGACACCCCGCCTCGTCTCTCGCCACCGCCGCTGGCCCAAGCACACACGCGCTTGTCGGCATGGACAGCTTCCGCGGGCTCACAAACACCCCGCGTCGCGCCAAACTGCTGCTGCTGCTGCTGCTGCTGTTGCCTGGAGATGGCGCATGGGTGCGCTGCTTGCGATGCAGCGGCGAGCCGTACGTGATGTGTTTCCCTGGCGACCGCCCCACGCCACTCGGGGACACCAAACCGCGACCACGACCGCGACCACGACCACGAGGCATGGGGGAAGTGGACGAAGATGACGGCGAGGACGACGGCGACGCCTTTGCGTTGGGAAGTTTGAATGGGCGGCGAGTCTTGGCCGAGGAGCGAATGCCTTCGGGTACGGGCCGCTCAGGGATGGGCGCATCCGACGTGAGGATGGCCAACGGGTCCAGCTCGTCTTCGCCACCGGTGCCGCTGCTACCACATAGAGTCGACGTGGGCTGCCGGCTCAGGATAGGGGAAGGCGGTGCATGGTACCGAGACCGCACACCGCCAACCACAGCACCAGCAGCTGCTGGGGTTGTTGGCGATCGCTCGACGAGGAGCTGTGGGTTTGTCCAGCATTTGTCGACATACTCCTGGGCAGTGGCGAGCAAGTCCTCCTCCTTCACAGCTTGCTGCAGGTGGCGCAGTGCAGTGGAGAGGGCGCGCGCGCGCGGGTTGCTGCTGATGGTGGAGATTTCCGTGAGCACACACGTGGGCCACTTGAGCTTGCTCGATTGCGGGATCACCACGGCGTTCATGAAGCAGACGGGCTGCCCTGGACGAAGCGCTGCGCTGCCCGTGTAGTCTGCCACGCTGCCCCGAATAATCACCATCAGCATGTTGGCATCGGCGTCACAGATGAACACCTGCTGCTCGTGCTGCTGCTGTTGTTGTTGTGGGTTGCTGGTGCCTGGCGTGGCTGTGCTGGCGCCGTAGTCACCACCGCTACCACTGCCAGCAGCACCAACAGCAGCGGTGGCGTGTCCTGTGCGGCTGACTGTTTTTTTCTGCATGGTTCGAGGGCTGCGCAGGCCTGGCTCGTCCACCTTCACCACCACACCGCACACGTCCACCTCAAACCCAATTGGCATGGCGGCCACGTGTGCATACTCTGCAGGCGCGCGCTCCAGGCCCGTGCGGCCGCGCAGCTTGGGCTGCGGGTCAAACACCGTGCGTGTGTTGGCGTTGAGCTCGAGGCGGGCGGAGGTGCGGCGGTGATGGGGTGTCAACCCATACACCCGCACGTGGTCGCCCTCCTTCACGGGCTCGGGCTCGCTCGTTCGCCACACGGTGATCCAGCACCGCGGCAGGTCGCTGTGGTCTGCACCGGCAATGCGCTCAAGCAGGTCGCTCGCAGGCAGTTTGGTCTTGGGTGGCCATGCCTGCGATGGCTGCTCATCATCGTCACGGTTGTTGTTGTCGTCGTCATCATCGCCATCGTCTTCGTCGTCGTCGCTGGCTTCGGTGGCGGGGCCATCAGAATTGTCAACAGCATCAACGCCTCCGCTTCCCGCTCGCGCTTTCTCCGTCGCTTCTTGGCCATCATCATCATCATCGTCATCCTCCTCCCCCACACCACCACCGTCACCATCATCATGGCTGCTGGCTTTTCCATCCTTTCCATCCTTTCCATCACCACCCCTCTGCTTCTCAGGCGCCATGCGGGTGCCGGCCAGCCGGCTCACGTCCACAGCCCTGATCTTCACCATGGAGACGGGCCGGCCCCCCTGTTCATTGACTCGCCGCGCCACAGCCTCCATCTGCTGCTGCCGATACCCTTGCAGCAGCTGCCGCTGGTGCGTCGTGAACAGCCGCTGCGTAAACTCGGCGTCCTTGCTCTGCTGGATGCACTGCTGCAGCTCCTCCCCCGTGGTGAGGGCGGCCACCTCCTCCGCCGTGAAGTGGCGCTTGGCGTGCGCGGGCACGCATGCGTTACCCAGTGCCTCCTGCGCTGCGTTGGCCATTGCTCGCCTGCGTTCTTCGTCCAGCTGCACGTTGCGCCGCGCCTGCACGCGCTCGTTGCAGATGCTGCGCGCGCCGCCCTCGCCCGTGCTGAGGAACAACACGGGGAACACGCGCTCCACCACCAGGTCCATGCACGCAATGGCGCCGCCACGCACGTCCACGTCATCGGCAGCCAGCACGGGCGCGTACTCGAGCGGCTTGTGACCCAGCGCCACGCCGTGGTCTGCAATCACGCGCGTGCTGTTGCTGGCGATGGTGATGTACGTCATGTCCATGTCCGTGTCAAGCGGGTGGTTCGGGTTTGGGGACTTGAGGGCGGCGCCAAACACCACAAGTTTGTCGCCGACAACAATCTCTTCCCGCTGCAGCCGCGCACGCAGCGCGTCGTCGACACGCGCCGCAATATCGTACCAGCCATCTGTCAGCAGCACATCCCACGTCTCCGCCTTGCTCCTGCTGTTCTCACCGGCGCTGGTGATGCTGCTGGTGGTGGTGGTGGTTTGCCGCGTCTTCGTGTTCCCTCGCTGGTCCTTGTTGCTGGTGTTGTCGTCGTTGGTGGTTACTGGCTTGCTCTGGCCAAACTGGGGCGATGGCGTGCGTGTGTGTGTGGTTGATGGCGGTGCTGACGCGTCCGCTCTCGGATCCCTTCCGGTGCCGGCCACAACCGGGACGCAGCGCACCATCAGCACCATTGGTTTGCCTGCGACATCGTCGCCCTCCACACAGCGGCGGATGGTCGAGCGTTTGCCGAGCGAGTACTCAAAGTGCACGCAGCACAGCACCCACTCCACAATGCGGCGCACAGCGCCCTCTTCCGCTGCAAGTGCTGCTGTGGTCGGCGTCTCTGTCGCGTGAGGCTGTTTCGAAGACAGCAAGCGGGCGCATTCCCGCCACCACACCAGCCGCAGTCGCAGGGCCAGCCACTTGCGCGTCACCACGCCCGCCGCAACAAACCCCGTATCGCGCAGCAGCGCATCGAGGATCGACTGCAGCGTGAAAGAGAGATGTGATCCAGCTTTGGCTCGTTGTTGCTGCTGTTGCTGCTGTTGCTGCTGTTGTTGTTTGAGACTTCCTTGGTGTTCACGGTGCTGTGCATCGCCAGCATTCGTGTCGGCATGTGGCGTGACAGACGTTGGGCGCCAAACAGTGACACCATAACACGTGACGCAGGCCGAGGACGCTGCGGCAGTGCCAGTTGTGGTGGTGGTGGTGTATCGCTGTGAAGGTGGTGGGATCACAGGGATGGCGCTGAGCGGCGCTTTCAGCATCCAACTCGGGTCGTCACAGCAAGTGCTATCACCACCACGATTGTCATTGTCGTTGTGGTTGTTGCCTCGTCTCTCGCTGAGAAGAGACGATTGAATGAACGCGGCTGCATCTTGCATGCGTAGTGCATCGGTCCAGTTCAAGTCGAGCACACTTTCATCATCAGTTGCACTGCCATCCTTGTGGTGCGCACCCAGCAGCGCATGCCATGCCTGCTCAGCTGCGTCCAGCCCACGACAGACTCCCCCATCATCACCATCTTCACCATCACCATCAGCAACGTTTGCACCGGCCCGAGAGCCTGTGTTTGTGCGGTCCTTGAGGGCGGCGGGTGATGCGTGTGGGGACGTGGATGGCGACATCTTGAACGGTGGAATTGCTGGCCGTCGAGACGACGGAAGCATTGGCGATGACGGGGACGATGGAGACGGCGCGGTGGCTGGTGATGCGCCAGTTCCAAGCTGGCGGCGGGCGTGCGTGCTGCCACGTGAGCTGCTGCTGCCGCTGATGCTACTGTTGTCATTGTTGTTGTTGTTGGCGCCAGGTTGTTTTGATCTCGGCAGTTTGAGAGGCGACGAGAAGCGGCGCTTCGTCCTCGGCGCCTTGAATGGCCGAACAAAGCTCTCCGGTATCCCCATTCGCGCCGCTGCACTGCGCGGTGCACTATGTGGTGCACTGCCAAAGCCGCGACCACGACCACGCCCGCCACGACCGATGCGAATACGGGAAACACGCCCGGTGGACATTGCACGGCCTGCGGTTGCTGATGGCGGGCGTCTGCTCATGTGGGCCGTGGAGCGCGGCGTGACAAAGCCCGCGTTGGCTTTGGTGGGCGGTGGTGGTGGATGCTCGCTCGTGGCGGAGAGGGAGGCGCTGGAGGCTGAGGCGGAGGATGACGGTGTAGTTGTGTCGGACAGCGATTCGTTCATGGCGGTGTTGACCAGCGCCTCGCCTTTCCTCCTCGCTTCATCCGAGATGCTGATGCTCTTGTTTCCCGCTGTCATAAAGCCCCCAAACCCACCACCACCACCACCACTGCTCACGTTGTTGGTGTTGTCATCATTGTGGTCGTCCTTGTTGAGTGCTGTTGCTGCCTCGTTCATGGCGGCGTTGACCAGTGCCTCGCCTTTCCTCCTCGCTTCATCCGAGATGCTGATGCTCTTGTTTCCCGCCGTCATAAAGCCTCCAAACCCACCACCACCACCACCACTGCTTGTGTTGCTGCTCACGTTGTGGTCGTTGTCGTCATTGTTGAGTGCTGTTGCTGCCTCGTTCATGGCAGCGTTGACCAGCGCCTCGCCTTTCCTCCTCGCTTCATCCGAGATGCTGATGCTCTTGTTTCCCGCTGTCATAAAGCCCCCAAACCCACCACCACCACCACCACTGCTCACGTTGTTGGTGTTGTCATCATTGTGGTCGTCCTTGTTGAGTGCTGTTGCTGCCTCGTTCATGGCGGCGTTGACCAGTGCCTCGCCTTTCCTCCTCGCTTCATCCGAGATGCTGATGCTCTTGTTTCCCGCCGTCATAAAACCCATCATTGCGGGCGCTGCGCCCGTCGGCTTCGTGCTAGCATCTTCATCCCGTCGTGGCGAGCGCTGTTTCGCAGCCGCGGTAGTACACGGCTTGACACCGCTTTCTTCCTCTGCTGTGGCTGGCGGGTGCACCGGAATCACACAGCTCATGGACGGCGACTTGTCGGTGCCGTTGTGCTTTTGCAAATGCAGCGTGTCATCGCCGTCATCGCCCAAAAGTGGCAGTGGCGGTTGCTGATGTTGATGTTGGTGCTGCTGTTTGTTGTGCTGTTTGTTGTGCTGTGGCTGGTGTTGTTGATCATCAGCATCGTCACCTTTGCCGTCGTCGTCTGGCTGCTGGTGGCTCAGGAGAAACCGCTGTGCGTACTGCAGTGCAGCGGCAGAGATGCTCATCCCACTTCCACTCCCACCGCTCTCAACACCACCACCACGCTGCCGTGCATTGCCGCTGCCACTCTCGCCCGTGGTGGTGTGTAAAGGCGCTGGCGTGGATGTATGAGGAGGTGTTGGAGTGCCGGGCGTGACAGTCTTGCCGCTCGCAGTGGTGAACACGAACCGCCGCTTCACGCCATCACCGCGGCGCCCGCCGTGTGCGAGCGTGTGCGCTGACGAGGGTGACACTCGGGCTTGGTTCAGTGGTTGCTGTTTCAGCGGCGGAGTGAAGAGAGGGCGCGATGGCGGGCTGGCTCGCTTCTGCTTTGTGGCACTTGCACCCGTGGAGCTCACGTTGCTGTCAGTGCCAACACATACCCTGAGCGGGCTTGGGTGTGCTGTTGTTGCTGCTGAGGACGAGGCAGGGGAGGTGTCATTGAAGGCGGGGAGGGTGGGCGTGGACGTGATGCGCTGCTGGCGGTGGCAATGCCTCCCACTCTCCTGCTGCTGCTGTGGTTGATTATGAAGGCGGTGGTGTGATGAGCGCCCACCGCTTGCGAGGAGAGGGGTTGATGGTGCCGTTGGTGTTGGTGTGGTGTTGGTACTTGTGCATGGCGTGTCTGCCGCAGCAGGCGCCGCTTCACCGCCATCTTGTTGTTGTTGTTGTTGTTGTTGTTGTTGTTGTTGTTGTTGTTGTTGTTGTTGGTGTTGGTGTTGTTGTTGTTGTTGTTGTTGTTGTTGTTGTTGTTGTTGTTGTTGTTGTTGTTGGCCAGTGAGCGAGGTTGCCGCATCAGGGGAGGCGGCGTGGCTGCTGGCCCGCGTAGCCATGTGCCCACGCCTGCTCACGCGCTTCTTGCCCTTGCAGGGCGTCTCAAACTCGTCTGTCCAGTTCAAGGGCGCATCGAGGGCCACAGTGGCGCTGTTCACGCTGTCGTCGAGGGATTCCGTCTTCATCAGGATCCCGCGCGTTGAGACGTCGACTGCAGATGCCATGGTTGCAGTTGATGCTGTGGCAGGTGTTGCAGGCGCAATAGCAGCAGGTGCTCGAGGGCTCACAGGGGCGCGTGTGAGCGTGGATGTCAGCAGGCAGCGTGCAAGGTGGGGCGAGTACAGCTTTGGATGGAGTGGGGCAGTGCAATCCTTCGTTCTGCTCTCGTCACGCTCATGAGCACGCTCGTCGTGTTCGCCTGCATGCATGTATTCCACTTCTTCCTTCACCTCCCCCTTCGACCCCTTCAACTCCTCAGCGCCCTCAGCGCCCTCAGCTTGCTCGCTCACGTCCGCCTTCCCCTCTCCCACCTCCTCCTCCACCACCTCCTCCACCACCTCTTCCATCTTCACCCCGTCCGTTGGCGCTGCGAGCTGCGTTGCTGGCGACTCGTCACAGCGCAGGGCACCCGAAGTGCTCGGCTTCGTGGTTGCACCTGAGGGTGTGACGGGCTGGGTGGGCGAGCCACACAGCTGCGTTGGCGACACAATCTGCGTCGGTGATACAACCTGTGTTGGTGACACGAGCTGTGTTGGTGACACGAGCTGTGTTGGCGAGTACCCGGTCAACTGCCGCGGGTCTTGCGTGTCGTCGTCGTCGTCGTCGTCGTCATCATCGTTGGTGGCGGCGGTGTCTTGCAGGGACTGTGTTTGTGTGGGTGCGCCAGCTTCCTGGTGTTGCCTCGCGTGCTCATTGCCGGCATCTGCAGTGTCATTGCCGGCCTCCTCTGTATCGCTGTCCTCATCGTCGTCGCTGGTGTCATCGTGGCTGTCTCCCGTGTCGTTGGCGTGCCGGGGCTGCGTCACGACTGTGTTGGGCATCCACGGCGACGGCACGGATGACAGCTGCGTTTGCTGCCCGCTGCGCCACTGCGAATCATCAAACAGGGTCTGCGTGTTCTTTTGGTTTGAGAGGTTGATCAAGCTCTGCTGCGTGGGCGAGAGCCACTGCGTTCCCGCCAGCCCGGCAGCGCTGTCACGCCGAGCGGCAGACGGTGCTTCCCGGCCCTGTGGTGAGTCTGCGTTGTGTCTGTGCGAAGCGACGGGCGACGTGGGCGATGATGGCGTTGCCGTCGCAGGCGTGTCATCGTCATCATCACCTGCATCACCACCTGCATCGTCGTCTGCATCATCATCATCATCACCATCATCTGCATGATCACCTTTGTTGCCATCATTGTCATCCTTCTCTTCCTCCTCCTCTTGCTGCTGTTCGTGCTGTTGAGTGTGTGCATGTTTGTCGGGGGTACTTGTGGACGACAGCGCGGGATCGGCGTCGTTGGGCCACAGTGTGTGCATGTGCACGCGCATGGTGGGAGGGTATGTTGAGATGAGCCGCACAACAGCGGCCTGTCGTGCCCGCAGGTCGCTGCTGCCAACGCCATCGCCACCATGGCTTGTCTCCACGACACCGCGCACATTGCCATCACCGCCATCACCTCCTCCCCCTCCTTCTCCTTCCCCTCCTAGTTCTTCCGTAGCCCTGTACTGCGGCGTGGATGGGCCAATCAGGCAGCAGCTGAACCCAGGCGGCAGCTGCCTTCCCATCGTTGAATCGCTGCTAGGTTGGTCGGTGCTGCTCTCAGCGCCTTGTATCGTTTGCTGTTTGTTGTGTATTGGCTTGAACGGGTTGCAACACGTTCGTGTGTGTGTGTTTGCGCGGTTTGCGCGTTTCCCGCCAAAGCAACAACAAAGGAGAAGAAGAGAGAAGAGAGAAGAGGAAGAAGCAAAGCGCGCACTGGATGCAGAGGGCAGTTCGTGGTGCTGTGCGGCGATTGGCGACAAGCGGTGTGGTGAAGAGAACAGCAACAGCAGGAGCAGCAGCAGGAGCAGCAGGAGCAGTGCAGAGGGGACGTGCCGTGCAGTTGTACCAGTGGCCTGTACACAGAACAGCAGCAGGAGCACAGTTGCTTGGATACCACCAGCACCAGCAACAGCGACAACAACAGCGACACAACAGCAGCAGCAGCAACAGCATCATCATCACCATGCCGCGACGCAGCGCCAGGGTGGCGGCGAAACAGGACGAGGCCGAGAGCAAGAAGCAGCAGCAGGAACACGAGGCCGCTGCTGAGCAGGATCAGCAGGAGCAAGCCGTGCAGCAGCAGCAGGAGGAGGAAGATGCAGGGGAGACGAACGCGCCCAAGCGTGCAAAGAAGGCAACCTTGAAGAAGGAGAAGGCGGTCAAGGGCAAGAAGAGCAGCCGCTCCGCTTCCACCAAACAGGCCAGCGATGGCACCCCACAACAGAAGAAAAAGCAGAGCCTCAAGAAGGTGCGTGTGTGCGTGTGTGCGTGTGTGCGTGCGTGAGTGAGTGAGTGAGTGAGTGAGTGAGTGAGTGAGTGAGTGAGCGAGTGAGTGAGTGAGTGAGTGAGTGAGTGAGTGAGTGCGTGCGCGCGTGTGTATGCGTGTGTGTGTGTGTGTGTGCCTGTGTGTGTGTGTGGTTTGCACACATTGGTCCACACACAAACAAGCGTGTGCACGCGCTCGCAGACATGTAGATGTCAACCAAGCAAACGTTCTCCATGCTGCCGCTGTTGTGATGACAGGCTGCGTCTGCCGGTGTGCCTCGGGAGCCAACGCAGCGCCCAAAGCCACTGGATACCAAGCACAAGCCCGTGAAGATCCTGAGCTGGAACGTGAACGGCCTGCGAGCCGTCGTGCGAAACAGCCTCAACCACCTACAGGAACTCGTGGACGTGAGTCACATGTGTGTGTGTGTGTGTGTGTGTGTGTGAGTCACGTGTGTACGTATGTGTGGGTGTATCTGTGTGTCTGTGTGTGTGTCATACGCATCTTGTCCAAGGCTTTCCCTCACGTGTCTTGTTTGTGCG